GAAGACACAGCCAGGCTTTTGGGTGAAGCTTACTAAGACCACGTCACATAGGGTTTGGGATCTTACCAGGGGATCTTATCAATGTCTATAAATATCTGAAATGTGGGGGCCAAATGGATGGGGCCGGGCTCTTTTTGGTGGTGCTCAGTGACAGGACAAGGGGCAATGGGCACAAACTGGAACACCAGGAGTTCCAGACAAACTGAAGGAAAAACTTCTTGACTGTGAGGGTGACGGAGCCCTGGGACAGGCTGCCCAGAGAGGGTGTGGAGTCTCTGCCAGTACTCCTGACAGTACTGAAACAAGCCAACGGCAGAAGAAAAGGGGTCAAAGTAGTTGGTTATGAATACTTCTCTTAATTCTAATCAAGGCTCAGGTGGAACATCATTTTCTCTTCCAACACTGATCTGTTTTCTTTTCCTGTATCCACAGCATCTGACACCCCACAACCAGACTACCAAGAAGCATACCTACCTACCTACCTACCACAAAATTAATTTTCAAATTAATTGGAGTTGCTCCAACTTTCTTAATTCTCCTTCTGCCTTTAGACAGGTTTCCATGCAGATGGATCGCATGTCAAAGTCCTGGGCTACCAATAACAGAAGAACACCCAGAACCCTTTTTTTTGTTTCTTTCTTGCACCCTCTGGCACCTCACAATTAGTTTTCAGCAAAAATAAACAGATTTACAGCCAAACCCTGCAGGAGAGGAATGTCAGCATGAATGCCTCTGCAGACACCACCAGATCCGTAAGCCTTTGACCCTGCTGTCAGCTGATCTTGTATGAGCCAGAAACGTGCATTGTGCCTGGGTAGGAGGACATTTTAATTTTGTTATCTGGCTCATTGGGAAGCACCTTCACCTCTGAAATCAGGAGGTGTGTGTTGTGTACATCGCAATGAGGCTTAGGCACTTGCCCAGTGAGAGCACTGTACTGCTGAATGGTGGGAAAGGGACTTGTGCTTGGAAAAAAGAGCTGATGAAGGCATGGTGTGTTTCAGAGAACAATATTCTGATGTCCACTCCTTCTCTGAAAACAGATTCTTGTTTAAAATGCAGATCAAGTTAAACAATATAGAGTTTTAAAATAAATGGCCCCCCAACATTCAAAAATGTGAAATCCTAAATGTGACGGTTTAAAAATTAATCGATATAAATCTATAAATATATATACAAATATCTGTATGCAGCTATAAATAGAAACTTAGATATATATATACACACACACAGATACTGATGGAAAGGGAATTAAGAAATACCAGTATAAACATCTGAAAGAAAAGGGCATGGAGTGGTCCTAGGATGGAAAGGTCCTAGGATGTCTTTATGTCTTTATTCCTTCTCATTTCCACTCTCCTGATAATTTAAACTAAATAGCTAATGAAATTAGATCAAATGGATCACACCATCCCTGTTGGGAGTTCTCCAACAAAACAGCATCAGTCAGCTTTATCGCCTTTGGAAAGAGAAGGTCCATCTTCTGTGGACTGTATGTTGGCACTTCAGTTGCCATGCCACTAGCTCCTCCAACAGTGGGACAATCACTTTCCTGAGTTCAAAAGGAAAGCTGAAAATGCATAAATGCATAAAAATGAAAATGCACAAAACACCCTGCCACCAGTGTCTGAACTCCACCTTCCTCTCCAGTGGCTACTCAAACTCTGTCTGGGGCCAATCCAGGACACACACAGCACAGAGAAAAGAGGACCATCGCCCAGGTTCACACAGTTCATCTGCCATGCAGAAACCGTATGACCAAAGGAGCGTTTCCCCTCCAATACACATTACAGAACACACCAAAACTTTGTTATCAGCTTCGTTATCGCTTTGCTCATTCCCTTAGTTTATTTACATTTCCCTAAAATTCCTGACTATCTTGACTTTCTTGGTCAAAATGACTGGAGGACACACCAATCTTGGTAGCTCATTGATCATTCCCCATTATGAATCAACAATAGAAGTTCTTAAACAACTCCGGCTGACCCTATACCAGGCTACTTCAACTCCATCTTTCAAATGGGAGGATGATTCCCCCTTCCTGGCTGTTTTGTCTATTAACATTATATGATGGGAGAGGGAGATATAGATTTGTCTAGAGCTATTTCTAAATTACCTGTTACTGTAAACTCCCAATCTTGCTTGAAGGCCGTCAGTGTGATCATATAACAAATATGAAATAATTCAACTGTCAGTAATATTGCTAGTTTAGCCAGCAGAATGTACACCTGGGGTGGTATATCAGCACACATATAGGGAGCCACAACGCAGCTGTGTTTTCCCCTGTGCACCTAGAACTGTAGTCCACAGTCTTACTAAATAAGACAACTCAAAATTCTGGATCTTCGTAAAAAAACACCAAAACGAATGGAAAATGACTTGCTAGGCTAACACAGATATGCTAACAGATTTTTGTGATTATTTTTTTAAAACTCATTTTCAGTGTTAAATAAACTGTGGAAAAAGGATTTGATTCATGGTTGCATTAGGAATCTACTCAACCAAAGCCCCTTGTCACAAATTAAATCATAAACCAAAAGTCAAACATGATTTGTGAAATTAACATTTATCGAGGAAATACTCCCCAGCGCTACATCGTGATTAGTCTCTGGCATCTGAAATATCACCCGTAATTCACGAGCTCCTCTGAAACCACACCACTAGCGTTGCTGCTGAGATGGTGGGCATGATGGAAAGGTGCTGCCACAACCAGAGAGCAATCCCTTTCTTGATGCTGGTGAGAACTAGAGGTCACTGTGTCTGATTATTTGGGAAAGTACATGCAGAGACGCTCCTCAGCCCCCACACACCTCTAACACCTCGCCCCCCCACAGCCACTCTCTCCCACCTCTTCCATTTCTCCAAGGCCACGGCTGTTGCTAATTCTGAACAGGGAGGCTTGGCAGAAGCTCTGCATTGTGCCCTTTCTTTAAAATAGTGACTAATAAAAAATGAACCATAATTAACAGTCATCGGCTCTTCCACTGAGTCAGTGTCTTTCAGCAGAGGGATTCGGTGCCTTTGCGGGGAGATGGGGACAGCTCAGTCTTACAGGCAGAGGAGCTACAGCACAAAGAAGACTTAGTGATTTTTAAAGGCTGAACTGTCACTGGCAAAGCCCACTTTGGAGCCCATAATTTTTTAGAAGCCAGGCTATGCAGATATAGCTTAAAGATATGGGATGCTTCCCTTTTCAAGCTGATTTTC